TAGCCTTATGTGTATGTGTGAATACAGCCATACTTAGTACAAGTGTGTACTAACCCTATACATTTGCTATCTTTTAGGTGAAGGTCAGAGAGAAGGTTGAAGACTCGTTGCAGCGGTTTGGACTCAGCGATCTCCAGAGCTTTTGTAGGTCCTCTTGATTTTGAGGATGCTACATTTACCTTCCTAGCATTAGTACTTTAGACATAGCTAGAGGATGTTCTCCCTAGCGTTTCTTTTAGACATTTATTCGAAGCTTTGTATTAAGTCCTTTTTTGGTAAACTATTATGACATGTTGATCTTTTGATTTGAATTGATTCCACAATTGCAGATGGTTGTCTGTAATTTAAGCTTAATATAACAGCAACTTATGCGAAAAGTATATGAAGTCTATGTACACTTCAATATGTGTAAATTTTTTAAATTTTCCGCAAATTTAACTATATGAATGTGATGAAAGCTAAGAAGGGGCTTGTCTATGACCTTTGAGAGGTTAACGACACCGGTTGCATCCGGATTCAAGAATCCAGATGTGACAGTAAGCATGCATGAAAATTTAGGGTGTGTGTACATTGGTCAACATGATCACATAATGGCTATCAAAAATACATTGAGTCAGCCACCCTCTTAGACCATATTACACTTTCAAGCATAGACCACAAAACACACAATAGCATATGAGACAAATCAACTTCATGTTATACTTAAAGACTCCTAACTTTAGCTATTCACACATCTACATAAGGGTACATGGGTAGGGGTCATCAATCAATAACACTTCATTAATGGCAGAACCTACACATGATCTGACATAACCATTTACATGCTCATAATAATAGTAACATAGCCTAGATTCACAACTAAAGTAGAAGACTAGGTACAACTTACACATAAGGTGATCATTCATAACCACACACTCATATGTTCATCAATTTGCCTTCAAGGCCATGATCAATACATATATAATGACAATAAAGTAAACATTGCCACTATAAGTGGACCATACCACACAATGTCATACAAGGCTTCATCAACCACTGTAATATAGAAAGCAGAGGAGATAAGCATTCTTACCAATTTCTCACCATTTTATCCTATTGATCAGTACACCTTGTTTATCAACAATTCATATATAGTTCAGTAGTTATATGTACTTTAATCATAAAGGAAACCATGTACAAGTTGCTACAAGATCACACTATAACATAATACAAGGCATATCATATGTACTAGAAAGTAGAGAGTAATAGATCACTTACTATATGCTTTACTTTGATTTCCATGGATAACATTCATAACAATAATACCAACCTAGGGAAGTAGATAAAGTCATATACATCACGTCTAAATCTTGCTTCATTAAATCTAGAACTTAGATTTCATCATGTACATAACATCATCATTCCACAGATTAGAAGAACTTAGATAAATTCATGTAAGTCTTATATAATTTCATCATCAAGGATTTATACCCAAAATTCATCCATAATATCAACTTAAGACAGTAGCTACAATGATGTTTTTCATAATCAAAATCATACACAATTTCTATAATCGAAATCACTGTAACACATAGAAACATAGGCTATTCAGACTCAAATATTCATACATTAATCCTCATGGAACCTTAATTATCAGTTCATAATCAATTCATGTAAATAACAGTAGATTTAGACAATTCAACGTAAGAAAATCACAATTCAACAATGAACAAGTCATGATCACAAAGCCCACGCAAGGACTAAATTGATTTAGGGAAGGAACATGGTTTCATAATGCAATTGGATTAAAATCACATTAAAAACAATAAATTAACTTCAATTCATCATGATTTAACCATTTAAAACGTTTTTAGAAAGAACCCATTGCTAGATTGAAGAAGAAGAACTTTTTTCATGAAATCGTCTTTGAAAACTTGAGATTAACTCTCCAAGTGAAACGTTACTTAGAGAGGATGGATTAGCGTACCTTTGTCTAGTTTAAAACCTCTAAAATTTGTGAATAACACATAGAATCCAATTTACAAAATGTTCCTGAGCTTAAACGACAATGGAGGTTTCTAGAGAGAATTAGTGTTGGAGGGATGGTTCAATTTCGTGAGAAGGAATTGGGAATGGGTTGTTCACGTGTTTGATCCCTTAAATACACCCAAAAATAGGTAAATTAATCAATTAGAGTCAGTTTAGGACGTGGGGTAAATACAAACCTTAACAAGTTTTAGACCTTGCACATAAGTTTCAGCTAAAACAAATCCTCGCAACTCATCCAAAAATGCAAGACCCCATCAAGACACACATGAATGTATCAAGGGTAACTTTCGAACGTCTTAGATGTTCTTGAATGTTTGACCTCCAAACTTCAAGAAACTCCATATAATACCATTAAACATCATTTTAACTCATTTTAAGACTTCATAATTTTATTAAATACAAATATAAACATGCATAGACACATGAGACACATAGGGGACTAGACGTCAAGCGTCTTGGTCATCCCTTGACGTTTGAATTCCAAATCACCTCAAACTTTACACACTACTCTAAACCATATTATGAGTCATTTTAGGACCTTAGAACCCTAATATAAACATGTTAATCTCTAGACACCCTAACTCATTTTGGGGGTCTTACATTTCTAGCATTAAGGTGTGTGTGGATTCACCCATGGAGTCCTTCCTGCGTAGGGTCCCCAAGAATTATAATTTTCAACTGATCAGGGTATTAATTTAATAAATTTGAGTTTCATCCAATTATGATAGATTAAGTCATATAATACATGATATGATGTTAATATATGTCATTTAGTTGAGCTTGTATTTATCCCTTCCAACATTATGTTTTCAACCATGATACTATGATAAACTCTTGAACTATGAATTATTAATTTTGAAGATATGCATGTTTTTATGGAATCATTTGTTATGCTTAATTTTGGTTAAGAATGTATCTATTCAATATTGGAAGAGATTGTTGGTTAAGAATTAAAATATATATTAAGATACCTTAAGGGAACAGTGGATCAAACACTATGTTAAAATGGATATGATATATTCGTAAGAGGTTATACATATAATGATCGGGCTGGTGATTGGAATTGTACAAAGTCAACGTATGATTATGTTTTCTTACTAAATGGTGGTGCTATTTCATTGAAAAGTAAGTAGCAAACATGCAAAACTCTTTCAACCATGAAATCTAAATTTGTGGGTTATGCACGTCTAGAGTACAATAAGTTGTTTGGTTAACAAGATTCTTTGCACATTTGAATAATGCAAGCAATGTTAAGGGTTCCATGATTCTTTATTGTGATAGCCAAGCGGCTACCACATACGCGACGAATCCCAAGTATAATAACAAGATCAAACACATTGACATTTAGTATAATTTTGTGGGTATCATAGTATTTGTAAAACATTTCTACACATTAAATGATAGTTGATCCTTTTAAAAAGGTCATCTGTAGAGGCTTAGTTTATAAACATCTTTAGATCTAGGTTTGTGTAGGATTTGATAATATTTTAGTATTGTAAAATAACTTGGCTGTTAAATTATTCTCTTCTATATATTATTTAATTTATGTTCAGATATAGTATGCATTTGATATTTTGTATGAAAAAAAGTATGTCAAACAAGTTGCGAGATTGGCTCTCTCAAGCAAACAAATGCCTCGTACAACGAGGAGCTCAAGAGATGATTACCATCATATTATGACTTGTTTTATGAGTCAGACGTGGGTTTTGTCTTAAAAATGTGTTTTAGGATCACTTAAGAAAGAAAATAGGGCTAAACATTTAGAGGTGTTTAAACCAAGGTTTTGTACGAGGTGCTTCATTCCATGTGTGTCAAGCAACCAATGGTCAATGAAACGATGATTCTCTGCTTCTTCATTTTGTGAGACCCCAAAATAATAAAATGAGTTTTTAACGAAATACCATTGAACCGTTGTTGTTTTTTAAGTTTATATCAATTTTCCTAATTTAGCATGTTACAACTAGCCATGAATTATTTGGCAATGCAGTGCATGTGTAGGAAAGTAGTTGAATTAGACATAGATTCGAGTAGAAAGAAAAGATGATTAATTGAATATTAAACTTGTATATAAAAGTCGACTATTGCAGTAACCATATTGATATTGAGTGTACTTGTGTGTATACAGTTAAACATGAATTCAAGTTTACCACTTTAAGAGGATGAAGGATCGAATAAGTAACTATTGAAGTAAAAGATGATGTCTTGGATATTTTGAGTGATAGTGTACTAAATTTATAGTAACCTTAAATTCTAGTGAATTCTCCCTTATGTGATTAGATGCCCACGTAGGGCTTGTAAGAAAATGAAAACAAGGCTTGATACTTACAGATGGCACAAATTATTTGTTGTATGAATTATATGTCTAGTTGATGTCGTCTTGTCCACCATGTGTGAAGTGGGAGATGTAAGTTTGTGGTGGGTCATGAGAAGCCCATATGGACCAATCCGATCCGGTTCATTTTATTTTATTTCTTAAGATAAGAATTAAATGGAATAATAATATTAGTTTTTGAAAAGACGAGGAATAGTTAGGAAGCTGCAACTGTTCAACCTCCTCTTTTAAAAGGTGGCCTCTTGTCTTCAGAACGTGAGTTACAAAGAACGTGAAAAAGTGCAAATGAAAAGAAAAGCATAGAAAAAAACTAGACGGTATCCTTTTTGCCAATATTCTATTGACATACTCAAAAACATTTAATTTCTTAACAAGAATGTTCTTTGTTTTCTTGTTATATTGAAAAGAGATTTGGAGTAATTTGTTTTTATAGCCAAATCAACACCAACATTTCCATCGCAAGTATTAAGTTTCTCATCTTGTTGTTGTTTTGCAATTAGAACTCTATCGATTTGGAGAATGTATACTCTATTTTGTTTATTATTAAAAACATTAGGCAAAAGGCTAATGAAAATTAAATCAAGAATTATAAATTTAGTAGTTATTAAGACATCATATCCCTTCAAAATAATAAAAATAATCAAGACCACTTGGCACTTTCTTTCTTTATGGAAATCAAGCTCTGTTTGCAAACAAAAGCTTCCAGTGTGTTTTGCACACCAGACATATGAAGTTCCTTGGTCGATTGGAAAAAGAAGTTACAAGACACAAGTTTTCCTTCTTTGCTTTCTATCATTAGTTCTGTGCCATTTTTCCAAACCAACAAAAGTTTCTTTATGAGCATTGGTCCAACTGTAAATTCCATTACCCAGGACTCTCTCTTCATTATCCATATATCAATAGATTGTTCAACTAACAAATCCGGAGAATAGAACTCACTATAATAAATCAAAGCTATATTTTGGTTCAAGACGGAGAGACTCTCACTTCTATTACCATCAAAATCCTCAGGATATGCATGTTTTTGGAATGACTCTGTGCTAAAATCAAATGAAACAATACAATTATGACCTATATTTAGATATCCATGCCAGTAATAGGCTCTGTTAAATAATACACGAGAACAATGTAAGGAATCTATTATGCATTCCAGATCCTTAAGTCTTCTCCAACAATTTGTGCTGAGATTGTAGATTTCTACCTTACTAATAAACTTGCTGTTAATATCAAAATCCTCGAATTCATTACTGGGATCTAGGATTCTAACAACCTTATAATCATTAGTGTTAGTGTCAAACCCGATTCCGGTGGCTAGGTCCACACAGCAGTTGATCTTTTTACTAGGACATAAGTCATCGAGAAGAGGGAGATTGCTAGGAAGGAGTTTCCAAAACTCTCTTAACGTTGGGTTATACAAAACGATGCCCCTGTAACTACAAATGCATAATATGCCATTACACACACCTGCAACGTTCACACCTATATAATTATCCTCATATTCTATATTTTCTGCTATACATTTAAATGATTCATCATTTGAATGCAATGCTAACATATTTTTACCATTATAATAAATGGAGTACTCGCTGGTGCTTTCCTCAATTTCGATGTAGCGCTTGAGAAATATGAATTGATTAGAGAAAGAATCATAATTGTAATGGATAAAGATGAAATCCGGGTTATTTATCAATGAGTACAAACTTTTGGATACACATTTTAATCTTATCAACGATTTTGCTGGCAATCGCTTCAATATGTCTATCATCAATTCATCGAGAAGTTCCATCCTTTTCTCCTCCACATTTTCCATCCTCTAAAATTAAGTTTCTGTCTCCTTGCATGGTATTACCATCATCTACATAGTAGCAAACTTTTACAAACGTTGTTCCTCTTTTATAGCAATCTTTTCAGGTGGTAACATTGTTCCTGCTTTATAGCAATCTCTTCAGGTGGTTTATATTAATTAGTTAATTGAGGTATAAACTTATAATAATAATTTATAGGTAGAGATTTCTTTTCTCAAAATTGTAACATGAACCCTACGATAATATTAATATCCATATTTTCCCTATTATTCGTTGGATAACTCGTTATTACCGTGTTAAAATATGAGCCAAGTTGAGTACTTATCCATTTTTATTTAAATCATGTTTAATAGACTAATATCAAACTCAACCTACTCATTTGTCACTTTCATCATATAAAAATTGTATGGTGCTCATAAGAATTTTGAGATGAACTAAACGTAAATATATTACTTTGTTTCTACATTTTAATGATAAAAATACTGTTTAACGTTCTTTCGTTTCTACATTTTAATGATGAAAAACTATTTAACATTCTTTGTTTCTACTTTTTAAGTTTCAAAGTCATTTTCTTCATCTTCCCTTTCAGCATTGCCTAATCTATATTTAATTTTGTGGCTCGAGATTTATAGCGCATACATTATTTTTTTATGGAAAAATTACGTAACAAAGCAAACTTAAACTATTTGACTAACATTGTATACAATAATTACGTGCATTGTCTTGAAGTTTGCGCACACACACACACACGCACGCACGCACGTACACACGCACACACACACACAGATATATATATATATATATATATATATATATATATATATAAAATTTACCTCTCTCTCCAACTCACTGCCCTCTCTCGCTCGCCTCTCTCCTCCCTCTCCCAATTTCGCTTGCCATTGATACAAATGCATATGTATAATAAATAATTATATACATATATAATTCACCTCTCTCTCACTCTCTTTCTTTTCTCGCTCGCTTCCCTCGTCCCTCTCTCGATATCTCTTGCCATATATACAAATACATATAATATACAATTATTTAATCAATATACAGATACAATTCATTTTCTGCCACTCTTTTCCCCCTCTCCCTCGCCTCTCTGCCCTCTCTCCCAGTCCTGCTCGCCTCTCTCCTCTATATAATATGTAGCTACAAATTGTAATTATCAAACTATAGCTATGGAAATTAATTAATATTTTTAAGTGGCTATATGTGAAAGTTCCCCCTTTTCTATGGAAATATTATTTTTTTCATTATTATTCTGGTTCAGTGGCATTTTCCCTCCTATAAATGGAGACTGAAAGTTGCGAAGTAACCGGATACTCGATTTTGGGGTAGGAAATTAGAGAAAGTAGTCATTTAAATTTCGTGTTTTGGTTTGGTAATAATTCGACCATTTAGAGTTTAACGAGAGTTTTGGTGAACGTGTGCAACATGTGAATATCAATTATGTATTAAATTATTTTTAAAAATAATGTCAATATTTCTAAATTAAAAAATTAAATAAACAATTACAAATTGAATGATAAAGTACAAGTTCCTATGAATGGTGAATGTAAATTTTCTTTGATTACTATTTAGTGTTGTCAAATCAACATTCGAAAAACTTGTAACTATTTATAACATAATGCTGTAGATATAGATAAGCTAATTTGAAACTTCTCTATTGTTTTCAATTGAACTTATATTTTTCTTTTTTTTCTAATGATCTTTTTAATGTAAAAGTTAATTGTTATATGTAAAAGAAAATCTTAAAATATGTTATTTAAACCTCTTAAATGTAGTTTCTTTTTCCTCTCCTATAGTGCATTACTTAGTTATTTTTGTATTTTAAGAATTCTTACTTTTGATACAATGTAATACAAATAAATATAGATATAAAATATTAAAGATATATTAAATTGGATGATTTTAGTTAGGGTGTGTTATATTAATTTAACATCCATGTTAGGGAGTGCTCAAATCCATTGAACTCTATAATTGTCAATGTATGTCAATCACACTTGAATTTTTCAGAAGAGAAGAATATAACACATCAAAAACCATATTTTAAAAATGTCAGGAACGTCCTCCATTTAAAGTTTACAAAGGATAGTAAATATAACATTATAGGTTGACTAGTGGTTTAGGAATTCAAACAACTACTCTCTTTTTCTCCTAACCACTTTAATGAAAATCTAGGATCCACTATTTCACCTTAAAAACACGAACTCCTTATGTTGAAAGTTAAATTACCACAATACCGACAATTTAAATGAAGGAAGGGTGTGACAGAAGTGGTTGTTACAGTGATGATTGAGGGGTGGCGAAGACGTTGAGGGAAAACAGAAAGGGATAACAAAATATAATGTTAAAAATTGTTTTGATGTGTGGCAAGCGACGATTAATGCATGATTTTCACTTTTTCTTACAAGTTGTTTTGGCTGAAGAGGGGATGTAGGTATTATTTTTTATATTATAATGTTTAAGTGTCTCTAAGTAAAAGATCTAATTTGTGGCGGAGTTCATATATTTTCTCAAGAATAAGAAAATTTCATAAAATTATTTTTACATTTGTCAAAGATATAATCAATCAATCCTAGTTGAAAAATGAATGACATGCAATGTGAACAAGTTAACACTGCAAAATCAAATAAATTTGAAGAAAATATATAGCATAAATTCAATTTTTTTTTTAAAAAAGATAACACTACAATATTATATAAAATTCCAACATAACGTAAAATACATTCAAACTTAACTATCATGACTCAATGTATATCCTACATGCGGCATCGCGTATAGAATTTCCAGAGAGACTAAGTTTCTTGACATAAGCCTGACACTATGAAATACATAAAGAGAATATAACATATGACATATAAGTCTGAAACTCTTTTGTACAAAGGAAGGTAGAAAAATTTATATATTATATCTTTAAAATAATTTATTTGTATGAATGCTTTGTCACTAATCTTGCAGTAGATGACGACAACTTTTCAACACTAACGCTAACGACGACATCATCCATAGTTGAAGATGATCTTTCTTCAACTGATGAGTACTTAACTGAAAAAGTTAATGAAGTTGCAGTAGATATGAAGGAAGAAGAGATGAAAGAAGAACATAGAGAACAAGATGAGGATAAGATGACAACAAAAGGAGAGGAGAATCTGGAAGTGAAAGATGAAGAAAAATAAGACGAGAAGCTAGAATAAAAGAAAGAAGATGAAAGTGAAGAGGAAAAGCTGGATGGGAAGAAAAAAGAAGAATATTAAGAGAAAAACACAACTAGTGGAGAAGAAGAGAAAGAACAACAATAAGAGAAGATAACAATGAAGGAAGAAGAGGAAAAGTTGAAAGAAGAAGGCTTCGCAACTGATGTGGAAGAACTGGAAAAAGAAGTGATATGATGGGTATTGTGATGGAGCTTAATGGTGAGGTTGGTGGTGATGAGTAAAACATTTTGTTTTTGGTGTTTTGAGACAGTTTTTGAAACAGTTGGTGTAACACCCAAGAACAAACTAAGGTGAACTAGAGCTTCGTGAATGTTTCATGAGTTATCACTTTACCTGAAAGATACTAGGAAAGAATTGTTATAGTTAGAATTTATATATAAATGAAGTGATGTTTCTAGCATATGATGTGCTATGGAAGTTTTAAATTTTCTGCTAAATTTACCTATGACAATGCGATGAATGATGATTATGGGCTTGTATAAGACTTCCGAGAGGTAAAGTACACCATGTTGCTTCTACGGGGTGCTCCCCCGATATGACAACTATGGATTCTTCCATGAACATGATTATAAAGTAAAGACTTAACATGATTATAAATAAGGTAATTAGGCTTAGCACCAAGTATGGAAACCTTTTACGTCAGTCAGTCGAGGTTTCCAGAAGAAATCTTCCTATCCCATAACTATGTGCACACATATGTCCCTTGACTACTGGGTCCACCTTAAGCTAACCATGTTAGTTATACCTTAGGTAAGTATAACTCCTCTTTTCAGCGTAGGGTACTACACCGCATTTTATATAGCTCACATGGTCTATGTCAGTTAAAGCTAAACTCAAGTTAGGAACCTGTGGGGAACACTTAAACCCTAGTTAATTTTATTAATTGATTAAACTCCACGATTTGAATCTGTTAGTTGTTCACTTTGATTTAGTTAGTTATTTTCATTAATTTAGAAATAAAAACCCCCCATTTATTGTATTTTGTTTTCTAAGGAAATAATTGACTAAATAATAGCAATAATAGATTAAAGCTAAGTTTGAACTATTCATGGGAACGATACCAACCTCATTAGTTGGGTTCTTTAGTTGATACGACCACTTTACTTCTTATTTGAGAAGTAAGTTTGAGCGTATCAAATTTTGGCGCCACTTCCAGGAAAAATAGCTTTTAGATTAACTTAAACTATTACTAAAGTTTAGTCGATATTTTTGTTATTTTACTTTATTTTATTGTTTTTGATTCTTGCAGAACTATCTTCCTTTGTATGATAAATACACAAAGAGGAAGAGAACCCTTATTTCCCTACGATCATGAATTAGAGCATACACTACGCAATATGAATCGAAACTTGGGTATTTACAATAATGATCCAAACCAGAACATCCCAATTGTGGTTGATGTTTACGGTCAGTTATTACCCGATGGTCCGGGTGAAAATAAAAAAAGGGGACAAAATCCCGCTCCACATCCTCAAGAATACTACAGAGGCTATGATAATATTACAGAGTCTGATATGCCACTTGCCTTGAACCCTCTACCACAAGTCCACACCTTTGTGGTAAATGGTAATCTAATACAAATTCTCACTGCCAGAGGTTTATTTTCAAGGCTACCTTCTGAGGACCCACATGCTCATATAACTAAGGTAAGGGTAGTGTGTTAAAGTTGTGTAGGGAGGCCTGATTTTGATTTGGATGTAATAGGAATACGAGTCTTTCCTCTCTCACTGATGAGAGAGGCTGCTATTTGGTTCACTGAGCTCCCTTATAACTCAATTTTC